AAATTCTCGAGAAAATATTTCCAGTCCTGTTATGTGCAAAAATAAAAATATCAGTGGAGTTACTTTAAATACACATTCCACAAATATATATAGTATTGCTGAGAAGAAAAACTTTCATTAATAAAGATAAGAGACCTACCTTGTAGTTTCCTCGGAGCATGATATACCAGTAATATGTGACCAGAGATCTGTGTATGGCTTTGTGGTCAGTATCTTACTATGCATACTCAATACATGTAACAGTGGTACTGTAACATATAGACAAAACATGTATCAGATTTTTTTATTTTTTTTTTTTATAAATCTCATATAAGTTTGTAACTTTTAAAAACAAGTTTGACCGATAATAATGTATCCTCCACATTCGTCATATACTGCTGATTAAACAAAATAGCCGACTAATTAAATTTAATGCATTAGTAACTGGCAGGGCTTCCAGTAAGTTCCAAATTTGGAAGTCAGAGACTGCAAAATTTCTGATATTGGAAGTCGAATTATATAGGTAAAGAAGGCAAAACATTAGATTTTTGAAGTCACAAGCCAAAATCAAGAAGTAAATGACTCCTAAACTTCCATTAATGGAAGCCCTGAACTGGTTTCAACTAGCTCAGTGCTAAAGTTGTCAGCTTCTCAACCGCTGGATCATAAATACAAGAGTCAACAAAAGAGTCTCCTACTAGTACTGGTAAATTCCTGGAATCAGACTTGAGAATGGTTCAAATGGGCTTTATGCATACTTCATGATCAAGCTACAATAAATGTTTCAATGAGCCTTTTTATATTACCTAGGTACCTGATTATCTGAAATGGACTTGTTCATCTTTCAGTCTAGAGAAAACCATTCATTATTTTTCAGGGAAAATTTCTAAATAAATAGAGACTGAATAGCTAACAGTGCAGACCATGTCATGATCAGACAGCATGAATGTGGCAGTTCATCTTGGTCTGCACTGGTCACATGGTAAAAACCAGTGGCCACCAGCAGGTTAAGGGTTAATAGATGTTTAATACAGTAGATATATATACATGTAAATAAACTTACAGAAACAGTGTTTCCTAGATGTAGACAGGGGTACACTAAGATCTCCTTTCCTCTGTAATAATTCTACCTCTAAATTAGTTCTGTAATAAGGGAGATTATCGTATAACATACATGTATAGTAATACATTTGTCAAACAAGTATCAAATTATAGGCTTATTTTAAAGTTTTACAAGTCTATTTCCGGTATTCCCTGTATAATATTTAAATCAATTAAACATTTTGGTTTTAACATATTATATTTATCACATAAGCATATTTACAAGCATGATATTTACAATCAATACAAAAAAAGGATTAGACTGGAAGCAACCTAATGCTTATTGAAGTATTTTCCCAATGTACAATAAATATATGTGCAAAATAAGGCGAAGAAATTGTCGTTTGTTGACTAAGACGGCTGATGTATTTCATCTTACATCAAAAAATGAATTAATAAATATAAATCAATTATTTAAAAGAAAGCAAAATACGACTTATACAACATTTTTTCTGTCAGCCACATAATTTACAATCTGATCCAACTAGAACTGCCACTATCATGGCGTGAATACCCCCGCATACCACTTTGTCAGAATCAACAGTGGCCATTTAGAGCTCAAGGACAACCTCCCTGCCAAATCTGAGGTTACTAAGCCAGTGCATTGCTAAGTTATGTATTCTACATGCTTCAAATGTGAAAATGTCAAAATCAATACATTGCGGACAGGACATTCTTTAGCAATTGAGAAGAAAAGCTTTTTTTTTTGTCAAGGTCCCTGTGACCTTGACCTTTGACCCAGTGACCTCAAAATCAATAGGGGTCACCTTATAGTCATGATCAACATCCATGCCAAATATGAAGACTGTGGGTCAAAGGAATCTTAAGTTAATGGGTGGACAAACTTTTTGAAGTCAAAGTCCCTATGACCTTGACCTTTGATCCAGTGACCTCAAAATCAAAAGGGGTCATCTACTAATCATGATCAACATCCATGCCAAATATGAAGACTGTGGGTCAAAGGAATCTAAAGTTATTGGGCGGACAAGCTTTTTGAAGTCAAGGCCCCTGTGACCTTGACCTTTGACCTGGTGACCTCAAAATCAATAGGGGTCATCTACTAATCATGACTAACCTCCATGCCAAATATGAAGACTGTGGGTCAAAGGAATCTTAAGTTATAGGGCGGACAAGCTTTTTGAAGTCAAGGCCCCTGTGATCTTGACCTTTGACCTGGTGACCTCAAAGTCAATAGGGGTCATCTACTAATCATGATTAATCTCCATGCCAAATATGAAGACTGTGGGTCAAAGGAATCTTAAGTTATTGGGCGGACAAGCTTTTTGAAGTCAAGGCCCCTGTGACCTTGACCTTTGACCTGGTGACCTCAAAATCAAAAGGGGTCATCTACTAATCATGACTAACCTCCATGCCATATGACGACTGTAGGTCAAAGGAATCTTAAGTTATTGGGCGGACAAGCTTTTTGAAGTCAAGGCCCCTGTGACCTTGACCTTTGACCTGGTGACCTCAAAATCAATAGGGGTCATCTAATAATCATGACTAACATCCATGCCAAATATGAAGACTGTAGGTCAAAGGAATCTTAAGTTATTGGGCGGACAAGCTTTTTGAAGTCAAGGCCCCTGTGACCTTGACCTTTGACCTAGTGACCTCAAAATCAATAGGGGTCATCTACTAATCATGACTAACCTCCATGCCAAATATGAAGACTAAGGGTCAAAGGAATCTTAAGTTATTGGGCGGACAAGAAAAAACCGACGGACGGCCGGATGGACGGCCGGACAAGCTGATTCCAGTATACCCCTCTTACAACCAGGGCTACAGATAACATTTTGTGTATATTGGGTAATTACCCCTTATTTTGTGATCTATTGGGTTTTTTCTATTTTCTTTGAGTTCTTTCTGTATTTTTTACCCTACCCCCTCTAACCAATTTGGGTTATAAAGTACAAGTTCATGCATTTTACCCAAAATTTTTGACCTTCATTGTAGACATTTGTAGGTTTTGTACGGTTATAAAAAAGCTACTTACTACTTTGCTTTATGGTTTATTGGCCTAGGAGATTTCCAAGTTGCCTTATATAATTTAAAGGTTAAAACAGTCTGAAACAGTATGATCTGCCTGATGTACGCGTTAAGTAATAATTTTCGTCATTACGCACCAGTTCAAATGTAGTTTGTATAAATAAGAATTCATTTACTTTTTCTTACCCTTAGTTATTATTTCTATTGGGTTTTTAGACATTTTAATTGGGTAATAATGCAAATACGCATGTTATCTGCAGCCCTGTACAACTTTGTTGTGCGGGGGTATAAAAAAGAAACTGCTGTAATATTAAACGTTTATTTTCTTTGGTATTGAAACTGCGATAAAACTCACATAAACCCTTTATCTAACTTGTTCCAATTAGTTATGAAAATAATAAAACACTAACCTTGCCACGGAACAGACAAAAAGTAGGACGCTCTCGGACGTTTGAGAGCTTGTGTATGTTTTAAATGCGCCGTATGTTGCTTTGGTTAGATTCTCCATCATCGTACCCATTGCCTTGGTCACTGAAGATGATCTCTGAAGTATAATGTAAAAAATACATATAAATACATCTGTAAGTTCTTAACATTTCATTTTTCAGTACGAAAGGAGCTTGCTCACAAGAAATATTTCTTGGGGGACAGATGGGTGGGTTGAGTAAAATTTTGAGAGATAGTTTGGACATGGACAATATTTATAAATGTTAACGCTCATACTTTTTGTTAGTCTAGCGCAACTGAATCCACTTTTCAAAAGAAATTATTTTATGCACTAACTAATAGAACATCTTGAAACAAATGTAGATATTGAACATGTAAAGTTGTTGTCAAATGATTTATATTTGATTCTATATTTAGAACAATACAGGTACATGTACTTACTGGTGTGATGGGTCGTTTCACCATCATATCGGCCAGGTCTCGCACCATCTGTTTGGGGTCACTTGAAACCGGCTTCGTGACCGTGTACTTGTTTTCCTCTGGTAGAATAGGTATCACAGAATTAGACAATTGTAGACATAGAGGACATGAGTACTCTCCCTTACTGACCAGCAGGTTATATTGACCTCCCTGTTCCTAAAAATAAACAATGAATTCTGATATATAGACTTTGAAGATTGATTACATTAATATTTTATATTACTACCCCTCGTCATTTTTATATGTTTATTTCCCATAGGCCTTTGAGAGTTATTCTTACTGTTAATTCAACTGTACCATGTGACTAAAAAAATTTGTAGTGTTACATAGTTTCTAAATGAAGTATTTGTTCGGTGTAATAAAATTAATAGCACATAGGTTTGTGAGTTATAGCAAAAATATCATTCCTCATAAAAATACTATTACCCTCGGCTAAATCCCCCAGGTAACAGTATTTTCCTTCGGATGATATTTTTACTGTTACTCACAAACTTATTGTTATTTATATACAATTATTATTTACAGACATAGATTATTTATTTTTCTGTCTGGGTTTCAGTCAAACTAACACAGATCACACGGCATTTTTCAAGTTTTATCTGGTCCAAGAAGATCATAAATACCCCTCTGTACATTATTTCAGGAACAAGATGGCAACTGAGTTAAACAACTGACCTTATTCAAACTAGCTGCATAGATGCTTTTCACATAGCTGGGGTGTGGTAGGGGAACAACATCAACCCTAATTTTCTAGGAATAATCAATATATAAACTTAAATGTGTTCATAAGACAGTGATACCCCCAAAGTCCACTGATGTTCCTCTCTACAGATGAACCGTGTTACAGTGGCACTGACTGACAAGTACTAATCTATATGCCCCCCTTACTAATGGAAATAAAAAGTGACTTACCAGCAGGGAGTTAATATAAGAAGTATGGCAATCTAAATGCAGGTAATGTCCACATGTCTGTACTAACACCCCACCCTCCCAGCCAATATTGACTGATGTTTGGCAGGAAGTCTGAAATAACAATAATAAGTTTCTGTGTACAAAAACAGCTGTACAAAGTAATTCATTTGAGCCGCGTCACGACAAAACCAACATATTGGGTTTGCAACCAGCATGGATCCAGACCAGCCTGCGCATCCGCGAAGTCTGATCAAGATCCATGCTGTTCGCTTTCCAACTTTATCACAAGTAGAGAAACTGATAGCGAACAGCATGGATTCTGATCAGGCTGCGCGGATGCGCAGGCTGGTCTGGATCCATGCTGGTCGCAAACCCATTATGTTGGTTTTGTCGTGACGGGGCTCATTTAATTTTTTATACCATGATGATGAGAATCACAGTGATACAATAAACTGCAATTGATCGCAGACAATATTTTTACATATAGGCCTCTGTTGTAATAAGGAGGAAAAACATTGAAAATATGACTTTTTTCAATGTTTTTCCTCCTTATTACAACAGAGGCCTATAAAAGGCCTCTTTAAAATTGAAATTTTCTTTAAATTAATGCAGTTTTCCCAAAAATTTGAATTTACACCAGCTTTTTTTTCTTCTCAAATTAGTAATTGTAGCAATAATTTTTACCAAAATCAAGAGACTAAGGTTTTATTCCCAATGAAGTGAAAAAAACACTCGTTTTATCATTATGTAAATCACATAGACAATAATCAAAGTATCAATTTAATTCAAGCACCGATTTATCCAATCAACACAATTATTAATTCCTGCACAGTTAAAGTGGCAATCCAGTAATCCACCTGTTAAGCTGCATACCTCCAGATGAATGAACAGAATTTTGAAAAAATTAAAATTGTATAATTATTCACCCTCTATATATAATTACTGGCAGTACTTTACATGCCTGTATGAAAAATATGACTAAATTTACTATTTTTATCATCATATACTTTGTAACTGGCTGCTGAGTTTTAAGCCATACTAGCAAATCACACCAACATTATCATATGAAGATCTAACTTTACTGGTGGAGGACCTAAGGGATCTCTTCTATACAGAATATTAGGCAGAAGCAGGCAACTAAGTAAAACAATCGATGGTCCATAACCAGTGCAAGAGCTTTTTTTGCTCATTTTGACACATTTTAAGTATATGTAATTTATTCGAATTGTGACTAATGCAATTATTAATTAATTTATCTTTTCCCTTGACAATATCTAAACAACTTCAAAACATTTTCTAACTTTTCATAAAGATTTTAATGACTCAAACTGTTTGCTGCTTTTAATTGTTCAACCTATCTTGGACTGATGAAAAAAGTTGCTTACTTCTTCGAAATGCTTGAAAAGTGTTTCAAGGCGTTTTGTTTGAACTCTGGAGCAAGTTGTAATTCTCTGCCTCGTTTTATCACCCAGCGTCAAAACTTTCCGCGTGTCTGTCTGTGGTCTATGACCTAAAACTATAAAAGACAGTCAGTGTCACAATAAATTTTAAAGCTTCCAAAATTTGTAAAATATGAACTACATTTACAATTCAAAGATAGTCAGCATGCTCTTTCATGGTCACAGACTTGGCACATATGCAGTATTAAGCAATTTTGACAAGACAATTTTTCAAATGGCCTTTTCTGTTCACCTTTAGTGGCAAAGAAATGGTGTCTCTTCTTATTCTTTTATGGAAAGCTATGCTATGAATCTAAGCCTGTCTCAGATTTTTCGTATAACAGCTTTTTTGGCTTCACTGGTGCAGTAAAGCAATAAATATCCTTCAGCATTATTTCAAGCACAAGAATGAAATATCAACAGAACTTGATAAGTTGAGGGGCAAGGTTTAGAAGTGATGATTTGTTGTTATCATAAACTAGAAATGTGTCATCACACCACGGATACCCTCGCATGCAGCCAAAATTTCGAATGATATAATACTTATTAGTTTCAAATTTGTTTTGCACAAACTATTATTTTCATTCTAATTTAAAAGCCCTCAACTATTCAATGTTAACACAAACCATTTTTATACAAAGTTCAAGACCATGAAAGGGTTCAGTGCTGACCTTTTGCGAATCGCATTTTGCATATTTGCAGCCGAGATTATGACAAAAGGACAGAATGACAGAGGGGCTAACACTATATGCCCCAGCCATTTTATGGCGGAGGCATAAAAATAGCTAGAATGAAGAACAATCAATCTTTACACATACACATTTACGCATATACATTACAAATAAGACTGAGGTAGTAAGAAACTGACAATATTAAAAAATTGATTAACAAGATCATATCACATATATATATATATATATATATATATATATATATATATATATATATATATATATATATATAAATATATATATATATACCCATTTTAAGACAATTATTGTGAACAAAACTGTTGCTTACCACTGGACGACTGTAGGAAGACCACAAGACCAATGGGTCGGTCTCCAGTGGACGGGGTACTCTGATTACATATAACACAATCGTAACTTTCTTCCTGCTCCATCTCCTCCGACATATCATCAAACGACTCGGAACTTCTCGATGGTCCCGCATCTACACCATCTGAGATAAACATTAGTTTTAGTTTATATAAATTTTTTTAGTTCGATTGTGTTGGAAGCTTAAAGGTTATTGAAACACTCTCGAATCCGTTCCTGGAACCAACCAGTACTAAGCAATGAATGTAAAGTTTCTTGCTTAAGGAAACAAGGGCTTGCCCCCGACAGGGTTTGAACCCACACGGTCAGCAATCCTTAGATTACTAGTCCGACGCGTTGAACACTCGACCAAGCCGCCACACATTGAAAAGATTGCTATAAACAACTGTGATAAAGATTTCTTTCAGCATAAAATATTTATATAAGTTTGATTGTGAGGAAAATTTGATAATTGATTGAACCATTCTGGAGTATGATTCCTGGAATTAACCAGTATTGGTGTCAAATGAGATATTAACATGGTTGTGACTCAAGTAGGGCTCAAACCAGAGAGACAGACACCTTTACCATTAAGCCTCCTCGTACTTTGGTAGAACGAAAGGACAAGTGCAAATCTACATGCCCCACCACCCCCTAAGTAGTGGAGGAATAAAAAAATTATACACAAACCTCCAGTATCCATAGCTTGCTTCATAAATGCTTTCTGTTTATTAGCAAAGTCCTCCATCAGTTTTTGCTGGCGTTCTCTTGCCTTTCTTCTCCTAGAATGAGTAAATGGCACATATAAGGTTCTATAACATTACATTAATCCAGTATATAACTAAATATTTTATACTTGTTATACGGCCCAATATAAACAACTAAGTATATTATATATTACATTAAGTCCTATAAGAACAAGCAATTATCATAGTATTGCAAGCAATCCATAAGTCCCCTACCGGTAAGAGCCCAAGCAACATTCTGAAGGGCCATTGGCCATTCACTTCGGTTCCTATTTTAAGTAAATTTGTTGAAAAAGTTCTTTAAAAGTGATCACAGGAAACAGTTTTTATGTACAGACAGACGGACTGAAGGACACTCTAAAGTTATTTTTTAAACATCCCTGTTATCAAAATATAACATTTTTAAAATCCTATCATGATTGAAGAAGTTGGAGTAAAAATTACCAATTTCTCAAAAAAAGTCTAAGTTCAAAAGGGGCATAATTCTGGAAATAGTCTTGCTAGAGTATTGAACACTCACAAATGTTGAGTGATAATATGAAACATTTATATGAAGTTTGAAGTAGATACATTCAGAAAAAGAAGTTATTAAACAAGAGCTGTCGGTAGGACAGCACGCTCGACTATTCTAAGTGCTTTATACTTAATGAGCCTTGATAATGTTAAATTTTCTAAGTTCACAAAAGGGCTAATTTTTTTTTATAAATTCATGTTATAGGCCTTAGAGAGAGTCTAATTATACAGTATTGGCTTGTCTATTTGGAAAGTAATGTCACAAGGGTGTTTTATTGAGTATAATAATACTAAATACCTATGAATACATAAAATTGACAGAAAACGTACAAAGGCTTGTTATTTAGATGTTTTATCAAGTAAATCACTGCTTTATTATAATGAATGCATAAAATTGTCCCAAAAAAGGCATAAACCCTTTAGTAGTTATGGAGATAACAGCTTACAAGCAAAACTTTACCATGAATTTCTAAGTTGAAAAAGGGAAGAAAAATCAGCCTAAATGCAAGATAGAATTATGGATCTTTGTCAGTGACCTACAATTCTGACCCTTAATGCATATGTGAAGTTTTAAATAAATATCTTTAATAGTTATTGAGATATGTAAAACTTGCATGTAAACATTAACCAAGAGACTAAGTAGAAAAGGGGATATGAATCAGCCTTAATGCAAGATAGAGTTATGGAACATGGTCAGTGACATATAATTATGACCCTCAAATTATGACCCTAAGTACATGATTGTGTAAAGTTTCAAGTAAATATCTTTGAAGACCTTTAACCTTTAACCAAAATTTCTAAGTTTCAAAGGGGCAAATAATTCTGCAAATATTGCAGACAGAGTTATGCAATTTTGCAAAATGATGTACATTGTTACTATAAAAAAGTATTGTAAATTTCAATTGAATATCTCAAGCAATAATTGAGATATTTGACTTTACAAAAAAAACTTTAACCAAAATTTCTAAGTTTCAAAGGGGCATAATTCTGTCAATATTGTAGGCAGAGTTATCCAACTTGTCAATCTGATGTACCTTGTTACTATAAATAAGTATTGTAAATTTCAATTGAATATCTCAAGCAATAATTGAGATATTTGACTTTACAAAAAACTTTTACCAAAATTTCTAAGTTAAAAAGGGGCATAATTCTGTCAATATTGTAGGTAGAGTTATCCAACTTATCAATATGATGTACCTTATTACTATAAATATGTATTGTAAGTTTCAATTGAATATCTCAAGCAATGATTAAGATATTTTACTTTACAAAAAACTTTAACCAAAATTTCTAAGTTAAAAAGGGGCATAATTCTGTCAATATTGTAGGTAGAGTTATCCAACTTGTCAATCTGATGTACCTTGTTACTATAAATAAGTATTGTAAGTTTCAATTGAATATCTCAAGCAATAATTGAGATATTTGACTTTACAAAAAACTTTAACCAACGCAGACGCCGACGCGGACGCTGACGCCGGGGCGACTACAATAGCTCTCATATTCTTCGAATAGTCGAGCTAAAAAAAACAATGTTTTTTTCATGAAAATTTTAAGTTCAAGGGAGGTAATTCTGATAAATTTTGTGCTAGAGTTGTAAACCTTGTCACATATGATGTGGTTGATGACAAGAAACTTATATTTAAAGTTTGAAGAAAATACCTTAAGAAAGAAAGAACTTATAGTGAAAAAACTTAAAAACTAGAATCAGAAATCTTGAAATTCAGTCTATTTGTTGCCATAGCAACCAGAATTTTCAACATAGGAAGATAAACAAGAGCTGTCGGTAGGACAGCAACGCTTGACTATTCTTAGTGCTTGATAGTAAAAAAAATGCTTGATACAGTTACCTCCTCCTGTTTACAGGTTGGGGTCATGATGGTGAACAAGTGTGCAAAGTTTCAAAGCCATATGTCAATGGACTTTGAAAATATTTGAACTATTACAAAAACTTTAACGTAAATTCTAAGTGGAAAAAAGGGGCATAATTCTGTCAAAATGCTTGATAGAGTTACCTCCTCCTGTCTACAGGTTGGGGTCATGATGGTGAACAAGTGTGCAAAGTTTCAAAGCCATATGTCTATGGACTTTGAAAATATTTGAACTATTACAAAAACTTTAACGTAAATTCTAAGTCGAAAAAGGGGCATAATTCTGTCAAAATGCTTGATAGAGTTACCTCCTCCTGTCTACAGGTTGGGGTCATGATGGTGAACAAGTGTGCAAAGTTTCAAAGCCATATGTTAATGGACTTTGAAAATATTTGAACTATTACAAAAACTTTAACATAAATGGTTACGCCGACGCCGACGCTCGGGTGACTGCAATAGCTCTACTTATTCTTATCGAATAGTCGAGCTAAAAAGGATGTGCATAATTTCCATACTGCCATCTACCCATATGTCAAGTTTCATAAACATATTTTCAGTACTTTTTGTGTTATCACTGGATCCAGGTTATGTGTAAAATTTGCCATATTTTCAGTCTATTTGTTGCCATAGCAACCAGAATTTTCAACATAGGAAGAAAAGAAAAAGACGTGCATAATCTCCATACTGCCATCTATCCATATATCAAGTTTCATTAAAATATTTTCAGTACTTTTTACGTTATCGCGGGATCCAGTTTTGTGGACGGACGGACTGAAGGACGGACGGACGGAGGGTAAACCTAAAGTCCCCTCCGGTAAACCGGTAGGGGACTAATAAAATAGACTCCACCTAAACATAAATACAGAATGCATCCAAATATAAGCTGAAAGGGATCTATACTCTTGGCAATGTCAATCTATCATTATGAATAATGTTTAAAGGATTCAAGTTTACCTAGATTCAGGATCCGTTGCCTTTCCTTTCTTAGGAATTGCTCCTTCTTTAGGTCGCTGGGAGTTGTAAAGATCTTCTACTGCCCTGGCACAATCTCTATTCTTTGTACATAGCTTATCCAACAAACGATTTATAAAATGTGCCCCATCACCTACACTGGTATCTTGAGATGTTTTAGCTGACACACTAGCTGGGACGTATAGGTTACCTTTTCCTGCCATCTTGGCATGAAGTTTGAATAGTATTGTTAATAAGCTTTCATTCACTGGTATATGTTGTGTTTTCGGTGCTTCCGTGCTGATGCCTCGAGAGTCAAACTTGGGTAAGGCAGAACTGGTGGACGGATGTACCGTGAGCAGGTTTGTCTGGGTGCCGGCAGTGCTGGAGTGCATGGTGGAGAGTATTGTAGGTATCTGACCTGAGTGAGCTGCTGTGATAGGACCACTCGGACCTGCAACAATAAATTATGCAGAAAAAAAACCCATTAAAATCTAGAAATTCAAGTATGAAAAATGAAGACAATGACATGATATCATATGACTATTCAGTTTTTTTCTGTTGTTATTTTCACTGTATTATATAACCAAACTCAACTTTCAAAATTTCTTAATGGCTGAAAGTGCTAAGATTTACCATTAAAACATTTCCTCTAGCCCATATAAAGCCTTTTCCCGGAACAACTGATTTAAATAAGTTAACAAGTTAAAATTTATTCCATGCTTTTGCAATACATTAAAACTACTGTCCAGGTCATTATCTACGTTTAATCCTTTTTGTAATGAAAGACCCTAGTTGTCCATTTATACATCACATTTTGCCCATGAAAAAATATTTCTGCAGAATAATAATTAATATAATTAATATTCCATAAGCTAATCTGTTTCAATTTACTTAATTGTTTCCAGTATCCAATAATAGTATCATAAATGAAATAAATGCTTAACAAAACTGGTGAACATGTTTACCAGCAAGTACACTAGGCGCTAACTGAAACATCTCCTCAAATGACGTATCGATTGTCATGGACATCGGTCCTTCTTGCTCTAGATTCATGTGTAGTAGAGGTATCTCCACATCTCTGATTGTCTCCCTTATATTGTGGAAGATGTCGCTACCTGAGAACCATTCCTTGTAGTTTCTATCTGGGACGGACGCTGGTGAAGGCTTCATCTAATGTAACAGTATCAGAACTATTGAAACTTGTAACACATTTGAATAATGTTAAGTATTACAGATATATTAATTTTTATATAATTTACACATGTATGTAGTTCTGTCTGTAAATGATATTCATTTTTAAAGCTTAAGACTGATTTAACTAAACATTATAAGGACTAGATTTTAGGCATAAACCATTTATTGGCGGCACACTTACATACTCCCCTGGTGCAGCTTAAACATATTCGAAATAACAAAACACTGCCAAGGTATGAGGAAAAAGACAACCAATCTGCCTCTAGCCTAAGTGACAACTTACATTGAATTATAAAAACATAATAATGAAGGGTGCATATGTTATTTGGTATAAAACAATATTGAATGAATTTTTTTTATGAAATAACTATATTAAATGAAATGGGTTTTTTTTCAATTTATAAATAGTAAAATGAAGTTGTTTCCAAGACCTTATAGCCAATTCTCAAGTAAATTGTAATAGAATGTCTCTGTTTTTCAACACATTTCAATGTTATAGATAAATAGAATAAAATTTTCCAAAACAAAATATTTTGCAACTATTTATAGTAGAATTTTAACCATTTAGCAATGATTTCTTGCATGCATCATTCAGCCTTAATAAAATATACAAACACAGGTATTTTGGAATTATTCTGTTTCCAAACTTCAGGGAATTATTCTGTTAACTATGGGCGGCAGAAATATAGATTTATGCACTTAAACAAACAAGTTCATGATCTTCGCAAAACTTGATAATTTCAGTAACAAAAAGAATTGTCAACAAAAGTAACTAGAACTGCCACTATGATGGCGTGAATACCCCCGCATACCACTTTGTCAGAATCAACAGTGGCCATTGAGAGCTCAAGGACAACCTCCCTGCCAAATCTGAGGTTACTAAGCCAGTGCATTGCTAAGTTATGTATTCTACATGCTTCAAATGTGAAAATGTCAAAATCAATACATTGCGGACAGGACATTCTTTAGCAATTGAGAAGAAAAGCTTTTTTTTGTCAAGGTCCCTGTGACCTTGACCTTTGACCCAGTGACCTCAAAATCAATAGGGGTCACCTTATAGTCATGATCAACATCCATGCCAAATATGAAGACTGTGGGTTAAAGGAATCTTAAGTTAATGGGTGGACAAACTTTTTGAAGTCAAAGTCCCTATGACCTTGACCTTTGATCCAGTGACCTCAAAATCAACAGGGGTCATCTACTAATCATGACTAACCTCCATTCCAAATATGAAGACTGTGGGTCATAGGAATCTTAAGTTATTGGGCGGACAAGCTTTTTGAAGTCAAGGCCCCTGTGACCTTGACCTTTGACCTGGTGACCTCAAAATCAATAGGGGTCATCTACTAATCATGACTAACCTCCATGCCAAATATGACGACTGTAGGTCAAAGGAATCTTAAGTTATTGGGCGGACAAGCTTTTTGAAGTCAAGGCCCCTGTGACCTTGACCTTTGACCTGGTGACCTCAAAATCAATAGGGGTCATCTACTAATCATGACTAACCTCCATGCCAAATATGAAGACTAAGGGTCAAAGGAATCTTAAGTTATTGGGCGGACAAGAAAAAACCGACGGACGGCCGGACGGCCGGACAGCCGGACGGACGGACGGACGGACAAGCTGATTCCAGTATACCCCCCTTACAACTTTGTTGTGCAGGGGTATAAAAACCTACCCTCCTATGATTGCCTGGATTTGGGACAGTAACAGCTAGTTCTAACAAATGTATGGCATAGTAACTAATACTCTCTGGTATGGTGGCATCCTTCAATGTCTGAAAAAAAACAAAAGCAGAAAAACATTTTAAAAATAAAAATCCTGATTACAAGGGTTAACACTTATAATAAATGATCAACCTTTAGTAAGCTTCTAGCTAGCCTGGGAATTAGGCTTTGACTGGAACCCAGGCTACCGAGTGAGCAGTACAGACCAAGATCAGCCGGGAGACGTTTGATCATGGTCTTAACAGTTCACTATACAGTCTGTATATTTTTTGAAATTTTCCCTAAAAACCATGAATGTCTTGTCCAAATTAAAGTACGGACAAATAGTTAATGTTAATTTGAGCCATGTCACGACAAAACAAACATAGTGTGTTTGCGACCAGCATGGATCCAGGCCAGCCTGCGCTTACAGTCCCTTTAACAAGTAGAGAAACTGAAAGTAGAGAAAGCGAACAGCATGGATCCTTATCAGACTGCGCGAATGCGCAGCCTGGTCAGGATCCATACTGGTCGCAAACCCATTATGTTGGTTTTGTCATGACGCTGCTCATTTAAATTTAATTCTTGTGTTAACTTTCTCACTTTATTTATTTATTATTTTTGGTAACAAAATTAAACATTTCATTGTGTGAAGTACAACTTTTATTTTCATAATAAAATTTTAAAATTTAAAATTCTACTTCTAACTGTAATGAATGGTGTTGCAAGCTCTGCTTTTAATTTGAAGGCCATAAGTAGTTTAAGGGCGTTCTATATATCGTAGAACCAACACAGAACAGTCAAAGCCAATGGGTCAGAGCTTGATTTCACTGCATGGATATTCAGGCTTGTCTAGCTTAATACTGATGTAAAAGGTTTAATATCAAAGAGCTAAATACCTTTTGTAAGACTGTAAACAGTAAAGAATGAAGTGTTTTACAGTGTAGTATTCTATACATGGACCGATAACACTCTAGCACCTCCCCTGGTGGTTTAAATGGCGGCCATGGCTGACTTTTCCCCTTAAAATTCCTCTTCTTCCTTAAACTGAAATATTCATAAAGTATTTCTGTTAAATTCAGCAAGGCATAGATGATTGATAACAAATGTACTTATGATGGCCTAGCAGTTAAAGTCTGGCCAGCGCAGCCCACAGGTCGTGGGATTAAGCCTTCTTAGACCATGACAATCTTTCTTCAATTAGCCAAAGAAGGATTAGTTCAAAGAAGGGGGGATTCAATTTAATAAAGTAATTAATTGATAACAGTTTACATTCAACATACAGTATAATCCCTACTTAAGAAACATTTAAAAAGTCATTTTAACCTAATATTAAGTGAAAAGCATGCCAAATAATAATACAACATGACGTCATTTGTGACATCACACCATTAAATTGGTTTCCAGTACTGTGCACGCTGGTATATCACTGAAGCAATGTAACAGGCTTAAATTCAAAACAGTGAAAAATATCAAATTGATATTATCACTGTTTCATACAGTGAAATATCAGTTTTATATTTCACTGATACATTTCTATAAACCACCGAAAAGCATGTAATAAATATCTTTTCTAGTGAGTTTGCAGTGTCTATTCTAGGACGCGCGATTGCGCGATTCACGCTAGTATTTAACAGATCGCGCAAAATTCAAAATCATGTGCGTGAAAATCGCGCATCTATAAAAAAGTTAATAAAACCGTAAAACTTCCATCCCGCATTATATTTGGTTGTTTTGTTTACATTTACACCGAAAACCGAAGGGAGGTAACTGTAAGCTAATTATAATAATTTAGTACCGTATGGTACTGGTTACGTGGGTTGACGGAAATTAACGGAATGTTCCGTATCGACCGGAACTAGTGTGCTAGGTCTGACAGTTGGGCGCCATTTTAGTGTAGTAAATAATCAAGAAAAATGAGGCAATTCCTAGCTTGGCTACGATCTAGACGTGAAAGATAGTTCGATTATTTGTATTGCCAATCCCTTTATAATCAATCGCGGCAGTTCTGTAATAATTTGTTTTCGTTTAAAAATTAAGGGGGGGACAACTTCTGCTGCCTTAAATAAATATTTTCGTTTTAATTATTTCATCGGTTGATTGCCTCAGTGTAAACTTAATGCAGACGATTTAACATTGGCAGTTTATATTGGCACCCTTTGATTTTGAAAATCGCCCCCTTTTTTGAAATAGAGGGGGGAAAATCACCCCTATTTTTCAATTCCTAGAATAGACACTGAGTTTGCTAGACATAATGCTTATACAGAATATGTTTTATACTATAAGATCAAACTTTGATTTACTTTTACAGTTAAAAAACAGGATTTTTCCTTCACAACAAAGAACTAACTTACAATTCGGTGTATCTGTCCATGGCTGACTGGAAATCATTCTTATACACAGCCCTCAATAACACATGTACTGGATCAAACTCTTGCTCCCAAATCTCATCTAAAATTAAATCATCAAACTATATGAGCCGTGTCATGACAAAACCAACATAATGGGTTTGCGACCAGCATGGATCCAGACCAGCCTGCGCATCCGCGTAGTCTGATCAGGATCCATGCTGTTCGCTTACAGACCCTATAACAAGTAAGGAAACTGATAGCGAACAGCATGGATCTTGATCAGACTGCGCGGATGCGCAGGCTGGTCTGGATCCATGCTGGTCGCAGATGCACTATGTTGGTTTTGTCATGACACAGCTCAATTATGTCATCATACCTAAATAGTTTACACGATCCTTTTCAAACATCACACTTTAACATCTTGGGTTTTACAGAAATCTTCATAGAAAATACATTGCAATTATATAATATCATCTCAGGCAAATAAGGCCAACATTTTTTTATAAAATGTTTTACGGGACTGCCGACCGTATTTTTAGAGAAAATCAAATAAAAATAAAAGTAAATTTAAGAACTTTTATTTTCATTTTGCCCGCCGACCTCTCTTACCAACTTCTGTCAAAATTAAAAGTTACTTGGTATGGAACACATTTTTCACTTTAGTTGTTAACGGTAGAACCTCGGAACTTGCTTAAAACAACTGACAAAAGTTAGGCCCTTTGATGTTTACATGGAATGTTACAAAAGGCGTAACAAAAGGGAAGGGCAATAACTTTACAAGCTTGTAATAAATTTACACGTGTGAATATCACGCGACACCGGGTCACGGAAGTTCGCTTTTTTCGAAACCCGTTTTCAACTGTTCAATACAACTATGGCAATTTGAGTAATAAATATTAGAGCATTTAATCAAACATGATAGCCTGTAAAGCTGTTAGAAAGCACGACTGGTAATTAACATCCATTGCATAAGTTGATTTGAATTACCTTCACTGTCAGAACAGTTGTAAAAAATTAAATGGGCACGGGATCAAAGCCGTTTATCGACTTTGGTGTCCAAATGAAATATTACTCGATTTACCACGGACCATGAGAATACTTCCACACATTAAAGTTTAGACTCATGTATAGGTTTTATAAAGAAATATAAGTTGAATTTACCTAGACAGATTGAGAAAAACGAGTAACAAATGAGGTCTACTTACATGGTAGATTTATTGTAAGCAAATTGATAGTGAAAACTTTTTATTATGAATCTTTGAAAACAATTGATTAATTTATTATACGAAAATAAATTCCTGAAAGTTGTTTGGTGGACAGATTTTTGTTGTTGTCTTGTTGAAATACAAGGCTTGTTTATAATTGAACACAGTCATCTATAACATTTATTAAGTTAATATTAGTATCATGACAGCAGACATGTAGTTATGTGTGTTTTTAGAAGTTTTTTACTAGATCAACATTAAGAAAATTGGTCTTTTTTCAATGTAAGATAAAGTGCATAAGTCCTCTTTGACATTTCTGTAAAAACTGCCTATAATAAATTCTCAGCAAAAAACTCTGATTTTGTAACAATGTATGCCATTTTATTTTCTATTTACTGTCAATTGGTTTCATTTTACTAATCATTTGAAATACAAATAATTTTCAGAAATTGCAAAATTTTTGCACATACAGAACTTACTCTCTTAAAAATAATTTGAAGTTGTTGATTCAATTTACCTTGTGAAACTGACATTGTACATTATTATGTTTGTACCACTCTCCCTGTGTGGTGTTGTGGATTAGAATCCTGTCAGGAAGTTAATTTGGATTCCCGTTAGGAAACTATCAGTAAGCTTATAATAGGTTGGTGGTTCTACCTGGTTGCAAGCTTGTGCCAGTAAAACTTGAGAGTGGCAATACGACCTTGTTTGGATACTCTTTAAATGAAGGGACTAAACAATGAATTTGGAGTTGTGTGGCATGTTTGCCCTAAATGTGAAAAGACAAAACTAATAGAAACTAGATCAGCAGCTACTAAAAACAAAAGCAAAAGTGACTTTAAGCATTTTTTTTCAATTATTTTGTTTAAAGTTATGTCAAAAATACTTCAAAACTATAAAATCATTGATTTTATGAACAAAAAATATGTTTTTGGAGTCTTAAAAAAAATGTTTGAAAATAAAATTTTTTTACCTCTTTTATCATTTTATTTTTATTTTGTGGTCGACTGATAAAAAAATTGAATTTTATTTTTATTTTTATTTATCCCCCCCGACCCATTTTTTTTAAAAAATGTCCCGTAAAACATTTAATAAAAAAAATGTTGGCCTAAAGGGTAATTCTAAATGATTTTCAACCTTAAAACTATTTAAATACTTATTTTGACACTACCTTCCTTTTTGATTTTAATACTATTTGAATACTACTTTTGACACCACCTTCCTTTTCAACCTTTTGTCTTAATATATAAATTTATGGTATGTGCACATATTTCATATTATGAAGTAAGTACATTTAATATGTAATATTTGGAAGAAATAGTTACTAGATAAAAATGTTTACCTTTTGGCTGGTATGACCCCTGCTGAAGGCCAGCTCCAGGTTCAAAGTTTGGTGCTTTGTGGTTTGCCACATCTTTCAGGGTGGGTTCAAACAGATCTTTACCATGCCCCGTCATACCGGACTTCTCCGGCATCAAGTCCATCAACTGACTGTGTTGTCGGTCATTGACAAACAATAATGTACACATCTCCAGGCGTGTAAGTTCTTTATCTGTCATCCCTTTAATACAGAAATTTCTCATAGCTTATTTTAATGTTTATTTGAACCTCAGTCTGCTGATAGCAACTGAGTCATGCCATGTGACCAAGATCAACCTGCAAATCTGTGCCGTCAAATGATGGTAAAGCATAATTTGTAACTATTCATATGAAACTGTACGGAAAATATATATCATAAAAGTTAGACTTTGTGGGAAGGGCTGTTGCTAATGTTGTAATAACTTGTAGCCCAACCCATTTGCACTATACCTATATGTACATTTGTTTTTGTGTAATTCATTACACAAAACTGGTGTCAGGGAAGGAGACATTGTAAAGACCACAAGGAGGTATTAAACTCTCAAACCCTTGGTTGAGCAGCAGTCAATCAGTAGCCAAGGTCCGAGCCTCTTCAGGCTGTCTGACTAGACTCTATACCGTTCACTGATTAAATTTCATCTTCTAGATATATAAACACCTCTTGAAATTACAATGGAGAGTTCTAAAATTCAACATATGGCAAGATAATTTCATGTATAAATTTAATTTTCAATTTCAAGAACAGGTTTAGCTTACCAAGGTAAGTTCGAACATGAAGCAACATGGTGAAGAACTGCAGTGCTCCTTCTACCATAGAAAGCTCCTGTTCTTTCTCCATCTTGTAACTGCGTGCACTAGGGTTTGGGTCAAACGACATCCAGTCACTGATGTGAAACCTGAAATTCAGTTAAGTCAATAATTACACAATTTATGCAAGCAAAATTTCAATAAAGTGTAAAAAACTTTATTTTAATATATATTTTACAAAATCCACGATATGAAAGCTTTCGTAACACAGATTTTGTTAACCTCATTTAACTGAAGGTTATGATACCACAATTTATTTTACAAAGTGAAGTAACTCATGACACAAACTTTGTCAATAATTCATAATTCAACTTTAAGACTGTCTTAAAGACGTTTTTTGGAGTTTTCATATAGACATATATGCAAAATTAAAACTGTTCAATAGAAATTTGAAGAAAAACTAATTAATGCATAACATTTTTCAAGTAATATTCTTGTGCGTCACTGCCATGAAAGTGTTCCTAGATTCTTTCTAAGCATTTACGTGTTTTCTATAAAACAAAACCAAACAACTTCACTATATCAAACAGTGTATGATAAATGGCATTATAAGTCTTGTCACAACACAATGAAGAAACATCAACTACAAATAATATCTAAACACATGCCTGACACAATTCTGTTATCTAATCTTTTATCTTCTATGTCAACAGATATGTATAAATTATTATACAATTACATAAACATTTTGTTTAATCTGATTTGATATTTTTCACAATGGCTACCTTTTCATCAAACATATAATACCTACCTATCAAGAACAGTCTGAACAAAGTAGTCAGGATCCAATTTACTTGCACACACCTGCAAATTCAATCAATATTTTAAAATGTCATTTTTTGATGGATTTTAATTCACGCAAACATTTAAAGGTTGTATATTAACATAACTTGACCTCTAGAAAAGCTGTACTTTCTTACATTATCTTAGACACACGCTGATATTTGTGACCTATTATCCAACCATCCAATACTTCACTGGATCAAGCAAGTTATCCATACTCTCTGGCAGGATTCAAGCCAACAACAGAGGGTGGTCAAATGATTCTATGTCAATGATCTTGACTACTCAGCCATGAAGGCCAATGCATGCTCTTATTCAATTTGTTATATGTTTTGATAAGCATTTAATTTCATTGTTGTGATACATTACTTACTTAATACTGTGAAACACTGTTTGTTTGTTTTGTTAGGTTTCAAGTGACACCAACGTTATGATGATCATATGGCAACTTTCCAGCTATACTGGCAGAGTTCTAAATTGCCCCCACATGCATTCTTTCAGGCATGATCAGGCTCCAGAGCAGAACCAGTATCCTTCTGTCAGCTAGCTTTTTCACATGAAAGAATACAAAGTCCCTGGCGGGATTTGAACCCACATTGGTGAGGAACAAGTGGTTTTTAGGCAATAACCATTACCACTCAGCCAAGCATCCAAGATAGGAAACTGCCTTACCTGCATGAGATAGATATCAGCGTCTACCATAGAGTAACAGAAATGACACTGTACGTATGTCATGGCTTGTCCTTTAATCTGCATACCATTCCGTACCCACATATTACAGAATACTTCTGTTGTAGCAACCTTAAAATATACAAAACCTTTTACATAGATGAAAAATTTAAAAAAAACCTACACTGTATATTTTTCTCCCCTTCCATAGGACCTTTATTTAGGAGGAAGCAAACTTCCAAATCTGGGAAACAAGGTCATTTAGAAAACAAGGCCACATGTCATTGCGTGAAAACAGGAAGTTTTTGCAAATAATTAAGTGGTCTACATTAATTTAGCAAAAACGTTTATAATTTAGGTTCAGGTTAGTAGAAATTTTAGAAAAAATAAACAAAGGTTTTATTGCATGCAACATAATGAAAATTTATTCTTAAAGCAAGTCAAACGGACAAACAAGTCAAATTTTACATACTTGTATCTGCAGTAGATGTGTGAGTAAACTTTTGAGCATTCTCTCTGGGGGTATGATCGACAACAGATCCTGTTTCTGATACTGAACTGCTTGTACCATAAACGTTGCTAAGTAACGATGCAACGGCAGGTGGAAGGTCAACTGAAGGGGATTAGGCTGAAATATATTACAAACCAAATATTAAAAAAATTAGCTACGGTATTATTTTCACAAATAATTCTAGTAATTTTTAAAAGAAACTTCTTCAGAAAATTAATGTAACAAATTGAACACACAATACACTTTAAATATAGAATCTAGTTTTGTTTTGTCTGGGTTTTACACCAATTTCAACACATTTTTTCGTCATATCTCAAAAGTCGGTCCACCAAACCATCCTTCCTGGACAACAGACAAAATAAAATGAGCCGTGTCATGAAAAACCAACATAATGGGTTTGCGACCAGCATGGATCTAGACCAGCCTGTGCATCCGTGCAGTCTGATCAGGATCCATGCTGTTCGCTTACCAACCCTATTACAAGTAGAGAAACTGACAGCGAACAGCATGGATCCTGATCAGACTGTGTAGATGCGCAGGCTGGTCTGGATCCATGCTGGTCGCAAACCCATTATGTTGGTTTTGTCATGACGCGGCTCAAATTTCAATTTAAAACTGCATATTCATGGATTGACTAATTAAGGAAAATTAGTGTCAAACAAATAATCATGATTTTGTAGAAAGTTGAAGTAATACAATACAAAATGATCTAAGACTGAAAGCTTCTAGACAACAAAACATCTAATTACTTATCAATTAAAACATGCCTGTCACAAAAGGAAAAAGAAGAATTTAGTACATGGTAGGAAAAATTAAGAATTTTAAAATCAATGAAATTAATGCTTGAAGAATGCAACAATGTAAAAGTTAATATAAACTGTGTATTATTATGTCAACCTCGGCTAAAGATGTAACATAAATGCATTGCTCTGAGATTGTAAGTTTGTGTGGAACAACACAAATTTCTTAATCCAAATCTTTTCAAGAGAGAGGAGGTTATCAATATAAATAAGATATTCAAGTCATACATGCAAAGGTAACACAGACGAACCTGTTCCTCTCCCTGCAGGTATAATAAACATGTAAATATTTATCAATAGCAATGTACAGTATGCATGCTTATAATTAAGTTCAGGTGAGTTTTAGTTTAACAGAATTGCTGAATTCAACACATTTTTGGTCATATCTTGACTGTTGGCCCTACTTACTTGCTTTCCTTGATAACTAACCATTAATAACTGATTTTTCACAAGTGATCACAATCTTCAGTGTGCCTTAATTGAACATTAGACTCAATGTCCGAAACCAAATGTCACGGAATAATTTCCTTCTGTTAAAATATATTCTTTAGCCAATTTAGCTTTATTCTTGATAAAAAATTTCCTTGACCCAGTCCGAAATGAGTGAAAAAAAAGCCCACTATTTCAGTCATGAGCTGGCAAGCAGGTTCTTGGCATAGTTTCTTGACCATGAGTCTTAAGTAACTAGTTTTATTTTTAGTGATTGCCAACTTCTTCATTATGAAGTGCTTAACGCAGCACGCCTCCAGATTCATGCTTTTAGCAGTATAATATAGTAAAGTTACTAAAAAGAATACAATTTGCACATTATCAATGGCACTTACAACCCATGTAAATTACCACAAAGAAGTCAAAATATGCAAAAATATCTCTTACTGCGTGGAATACAGTGGAATATAATTATAAATACTGAAAAATCAGTCAACATGTAAATTATTACTAGAATTTTGAATCTTTATACCTTTCCTTAAATCTTACATTTTTCGTACATTTTTCTCAGGTTTGATTTTTATTGAAATATTTTTGCTCATCTGGAGGCGTGCAGCTTTAAAGGCCCAATGTTGTCAAGAAAAACTGTCTTCAGCACAAACTCTTTTCATAATTTTTTTTCCAACTCTGAATAACTAAACTTCAAGGTCTATTAACATAACACCCATTCTCTGTACATGTAATAGGTAAACTGTGCAGACCAGAATTCTTGAAACACTTAAAGCTGCATACATTATACATCCATTATTTATATTAATTCCAGCAAAAAACTCTATAATTTTTACAAACATCTCAACAAACAAATCTCAACATACAACAGAAATCACTAAAACCCAAAATCTTCCTCATTAACAAACTTACATTTGTTGATTCCTTACAGCAGATAGCATCAAACCAGTCTTGTAGAGTATCCTGACACACCTGTATCATTGTCTTTGTCAGGGTTATTGTGTCCTGTAATATTTACGTATATAGTATAATTGAAACTTGAAAGTGTTATACTTTCCCACTATATTCACATATACTTATAATAATCTATGATTTGAATTTTCATTAAAATTACATTTTTATGAAGTGGTGGTTACTTTATGCCTACAAGACTACTTTTGGCCAAAATCCTTGTTACCTTGCACTTTGATCTATTATTAAATTATAATTTATGAAGTAATCGAAAAAAATCTACAAAGGACACTGACAAAATAGTAACAGTGCCAAATTATTGTTACTTTTTTTAAGGGAGTTAGCTCTCTACGCCTTTCAGCTGCAGTTAAGACCATATGGCCCCTTTTCAACTTTACACTAAACACACACCTCACATGCCCTTGTCTCTGTGCATTCCCTTTGTTTTATTCATACGCAGGGTTTTACGGGACGCAGAATTCTGCGTCCCTATACGCATAAATTTTGACATGTACGCATATAAGTTATCCACTTGCGTCCAAGTGTACGCACAAAAATAATCCTAGACAATAGATATTATTGTTTCTGACCCGACATGATTTTATCTCTTTCTTCTTGAAGCTCACAAAATTCCATTTTAATCTAATACAGCGTGCAGAAATGCTTGCATTTGTTTATTTCGGAAGTTAACATAATTGAAATCTACTGCGCATGCTATTTGCAAGTGCCCGCTGCTGAAACTGATGACGTTTATCGTGCAAGCTACAGTAACTGATGACGCTTACCGTAAAATGTATTTTAGGTAGCCGTTTTTGGTTTTTCTGTTGCTATATTTAGACAGACTATTTATAACAAGCAATTACTATTGGTTAGCGTATCCAAAATGTCGACCTACCAGTTCGGCGAATGTATTTTGTACATGAACGGCAATAATAAAAAAGTAGTGCTTTTTGCAAACCTATTTTCATGTAGTGTTAAAGAAATTAAGTTACTGGGTATGTTATTATCGTTGGTGTTATAAATATAATGGTTTCAGCGAACTTAAATTATGAGGAGGTGCAAAAGCGGTTTCGTCGGCCTTTTTGTATGATATTTTTAAAAACGCAACATATTTAGCTGACTGGTCTGTAAAGATATCTATTGTGACTAGTTCAATATAATAAAATATTTACAAATAGATCAGTACAAATTTTCAGTCTGTTGGTGTAATCACCTTATCAATAACAAAATATGCTACTAAAACTTGACATTCCAGCCACTCAAAGACTTAAATAAGCCTTGGAAATAGCACATGACATTATTGTAAAGGGCTATAAAAAACCTAGTGATAAAAGATATTGAAATCATACTTCTTAAGTTATGAAAACAGTACAATATACATGTATATTTCTCACAGGTAAGTGATTTTATGCAAAATAGAGTGGTCTTCATAGTCTTTTATAGTGAATATAATTTTGGACCCCTAAAATTCAGGCCTGGACCCCTACTTTTCTAGGCTGTGCATCCACTGGACCCCTAAAATTTCAAAGAGATGTAAAACCCTGCATACGTAAACATATGTCTAAATGACATTCCTATCGCATTTTACCAACCACCTCGGGAGAATTCTAGAATGCTAACTGTCCCATTAACTTTCATCAAATCAAAGCAATAAAAGAGTGGTTACTAAAGATCAGCAAATTGACCCCCTAAAGTCATTAAGGCAAACTGAAACTTAATATAAAATATACCTGGTTTCTTAAATGTGATATCAGACTCCACATTGGCGAAGCTGCAATTTCTAATTCAGCCGAAAATGCTGCATAGTAGGTATCCGGTTCGAACTCCACATGCTGGTGAAGCTCTCGTTGATTCAAGTTCATACCTAAAAATATATAGAATATAAAAGTACAATCTTAAGTAAATCTTACATGACTTTTAACCATGTACAAATAATGCCCTTCTTCAGATTTTAAATATGCATGAGTCACCCAAAACTTCAACCAATGATTTTTCGAATTCACAAAGAGACATAAATCAGACAAATTACATGCAAAGAGTTATGGGCCTTGTAATGTGACCTCAAATTATGGTGACAAAGACAAGTATTAAGATACAGGGGAATATCTTAAGCAATTTTGAAGACTGATGCTGTACGGGAAACTTTGAGAATTTTCTTGGTTCACAAGGGGCCATAATTCTGTCAATGTTTGTCTGTTTTTACTCAGTTTTCAACACAGGTTCTGTCATATCTAGGCAGTTAGTCTACGTAATTCACTTTCCTTGATAACTAACCACTTATTTCATATTTCTATGCAAGTTAATAACTACTTTTTTCGGTATAAAAATAACTTAAAACCCCATTCAAAGCATGAAATAAATAGAAAATGTGTTTGTTTTGTATATAAGATCAAATTATCCCTCACTCATTAACATAAGCCTACATTTTCATCTGATGTTCTCACTGTGAATTATTTTTTATCTAATGTGCAAAAAGAAACAAAAACCCTCTATATCAAGAGCTGTCACTGATCGCAAATTTTGTATTGATATATCGAGGGACAAATATAGAATTTATATCGATATCTACTTTATCAGTATTTCTTAACTTGTCTGTATGATATTTATATAGTAAATTTCTGAAAATTTCCACTTGTCAGGAGAGGCTGTGAGACAACCTGGGCAATACAGACAATTGATTTTGCCGCCCCTGTTTGGAGGATAAATAAATATCGATAATATATCGATATTGCTATATTCAATGACAGCCCTATCTACATCCTGCATGACTCTAGGCCTTAGACAGTGACCTGTTACTATGAATGATTTCAAACACGTGTGTGATGAAGTAAGATTATGTACAAGAGGTTGTTACACATAAACCTTTCATCAAAATTATGCAGATGTAGAAACCAATGCTTGAGTTGAGTAGGATGATAGGATAAATCACAATATTTTTCATAAAGTTCAGCTAAAAAAGAACACTGAAATGGTATAAATATTACTTCAATATAACATTAAAACAAAAGAAGTACAAACCTTGGAAGTATGACAAGAGTTCCAGCCACATGGAGACAAGTTTACTGTCGGAGAGAAATTGATGCGCTATCTCTTTATGTGACAGTAAATTGATCAGGTCACTGATGATTGGCCAGTAACAATGTTCCTTCATAGCCTCATGACTACAATCTACAACCATGTGGAAGTTCTGTTGGGCATCTACAAAAAAAACAAAAACAATAACATATTTATAATTAACTTCTGGTTTTTTTTCGGTTTTTTTTTTTTTTTCGTGATGTTTAATTTTTGACATTTATAATGATCCATATTATAGATTGATATATTCACCCACAGTTTTATCTAGACTAATTATTCATCTTATGAAAAATTAAACAGCTGTACAATATCGCTTTCAAATTATGTAAATTGCAGCTGAGTTATAAGATCCGTCAGTAGGTGGGGTAATGTGATAATGAGCATTATGAGATCATGGACCCCAAGGCAACATGAGCCCTATAACGGGGCTCTAGTGTATTATTAATAACATTCTGTTTTATGTCTGACAATGTATAAACAATCAAATACACTGACTAATACTTTTAAGTATCAACTAACATTGTAATTGACAAACTGACATGGAAATTTACAGTCTGAAAAAATGACTCACTGGCCTTGAAAAGTAGCAGTACTGATGATCCTTGAAATGTAGTGACCATGAAATGTACTGACCGACCTTGAAATGTATTGACTGACCTTGAAGTGTGTTGACTGACCTTGAAATGTATTGAATGGTCATGAAATGTATTGAGTGACCTTGAAATGTGCTGATAGAACTTGAATGTACTAACTGACCTTGAAATGTCCTGACTGATCTTGAAATGCACTGACTGACCTTGAAATGTATTGAATGATCTTGAAATGTCCTGACTGACCTTGAAATGTACTGAATGACCTTCAAATGTATTGAATGACCTTGAAATGTGCTGACTGACCTTGAAATGTACTGACTGACCTTGAAATGTACTGACTGACCTTGAAATGTCCCGACTGACCTTGAAATGTATTGACTGACCTTGAAATACACTGACTGACCTTGAAATGTATTGACTGACTTTGAAGTGTATTGAATGATCTTGAAATGTACTGACTGACCTTGAAATGACCTGACTGACCTTGAAATACACTGACTGACATTGAAATGTATTGACTGACCTTGAAGTGTATTGAATAATCTTGAAATGTACTGACTGACCTAGAAATGTACTGACTGAGCTTGAAATATATATTGATTTTGAAATGCACTCACTAACCTTGTAAAGTACTTTCTGTGAGTATTCCCTCTATCATATGATTAAGGCTAAGAATGAGAATATACAACAGGTTGTACTCCTTCACCATCTGACAAGCTAAACTCTCGTTACTAAATAATTGTACACTGATATGTACAACACGGTTGGCGACAGTCTGACGGTCTAGAGCGTTGACCAGAACACGAGATATTCTACTGTAGTGCTGGATAAATGCACGGGTAAAAGCTTCCTGTAAATAAATACATTTTAAATTGTCTAAAGATGTTCCGTATCGAAGTTACTTCAACCTTATTAAAGTAACGTCCTTACTTTACAGAGAAGTTTTTTTTTTAAAGCGACATTCACACATTAAAAGATATGCAATGCTAACTTTCAAGTAAAATACTTTTTCTTGCAGAAATTCATTGAAAACAAGTTAGTTCTAACTCAATATGTTAAATTTGAATAATAGAATGCACGAACTATGGTTGGGAAGGTGTATTTCTTATTACTCTTCAAGTTATTTTGGACCTTCCTTGAAAAAAACCTGCCAATTTTTTTTACAGGGGTTTATTTAAGCGGATGCCCGCTTGCCCGCGTCGGGTAGAAATCGCTGCGGGCAAGTGAAATTTGAAAGCAAATTGCCCGGCGGGCAAGTGAATTTTCGTTATGCCTTCTATTAGCTTTGATATCCTTTGCCGATAATACTTTTCTTTCCGTTCATATTACAGTCAAACAAGTGTATTTATAACTGTTTCTGATTGTTGTTGGACTCCTATCAACCCATCAAATTACGTAAAAAAACTTTTTTCTATTTTGCTTTCCTTTCAAAATGGCGGGCGGCGCCGAAAGTTTTCTCATTTTTAAAAGAAAAAAATCTACAGCAATTAAAGAAAAAGCCACGGCAAAGAAAACATCTGATTTTCTGAATAAAAAGCATAAAATCACAAAAATTCAAGATGAGTTATGTCAATAAAGACTGACACAACTGCAAGGTTCAAGAAAGAACAGAAAAATCGGGCCGTAAAAATCTACTCCTTTGAATCCTGTACGCTATTGTTTTCTTCATACAGTCAAAATTTAACTAACTGGCGTCAACTCATTTGCAATAGGCCTATAGATTTTTTTTAAAATTCATCACCAGTAATCTTTTTTACACAAATCTTGACGAAAAATCATAATAGTCTTGAACTGTTGTTAATTTATTTTCCTTTCTCCCCTACGGCAATGTTTAGAAATATTCTTACCTATAAATAAACAGAATAAAATAATCCATAAAATGTTTAAAATCCTTTTTGGTAAATCACAGCATATTGTGTAACTTTAAGTTATCTGAGGTCATTCTAGGTCATGCCTAATTTACGACCAAAACAGAAAAAAACCTCCTTAGGTGAAACATACAGCAAATGACGTATATTTTGTCTGACAGTTCTTTGAACCAGTCAGTGCTCTGAACTGTATGATTACTGCATGGGGTGAGTCCCTTTGATGTGACATAGGTTAAAACTTCATATAAATTTTAATACAAACAGGGAGGATAGGAATCAATTTAAATTGAGTATAACACATCCTGTCATGGACTTGGAGCAACTTGTTGTTTTTAAAAATGAAATAAATTTGAAAGGTACATTACTAGTTTGGTAATGCAAACAAAGCAAACATATTTTTGATATTTTTACATTGTTTGAAATCAACAATAAACATTTAAAACCTAGCACAATTTTAACAATCAATGTACTGTTTCCTTTTTAATGTTGTTTTAGGGAATAAATATTTTTAAGGTGATAGCATCTGAATGTTAATATATTTTAAAAGTCATCTGGAATAGGGCCTAATATTTCCTGTAATTTTTATAAGCCTTAACAGATCATGTCGGACATGACTATTGTTAATCTTCACTTTCATTTTACTATTTTGATGTGAGGAATCCCTGACATTTAGGAGTTTTTAAATCTCAGGGATTTCTATTGGATCCCTGGCAAAGAAAGTTGTGTCGACCCCTAGACTATTGTGAATTAGCAAACAAACATATACAGTAGGGAATTTAGGACTATTTTACTATCTGAGGCATAAGTTGATAGGATCTGCAATAAATCTTATTTTTACCCATAATTTTTGCTTTGATTATTAACAAACTTCACATTTAAGATCGGGCAACCTGTTTTTCCTGGGGGCAAGTAGATTTTCAAAGTTACTTGCCCTTCGGGCAAGTGAAAGTCAAAACCTTAAGTAAACCCCTGTTTTTTATGACACTATGTATTCATACTGAGATAACCTTATAATGTGTAGAGTTTAAAACATAAAAGACTTCTCCGAAAGTATCCAAAAAGATGTTTATTTAACATTTAAAAAGAGACAATTATCAGTATTTTCAATAACGAATTAGAAGATAATAAATCTTGAAAGTAACAGGTGATGTTTCTGTGCAATATTTTTACAGACTATATCTTAGTTTTATCATGTAGGAAGCTATCAGCTTTATGTAGACATACTCTTAAATCAACTCCTGGAACCAACCAGTACAAAGCAACAAGTGTAAAGTTTCTTGCTTAAAAGGAAAACAAAGGCTTGCCACTGGCAGGCTTTGAACCCATGCGGCCAGCAATCCTTAGATTACTAGTCAAACAAACTAACCACTTAGCACAGATGCCAGCCAGCTGTTAACTTCAGCCACACAGTAACACCATCATCATATAAGCCAACGTTCTAGCTTGACTCTTCACAAACACATAAACCTATGCATGTTTCATTGTACACTTTACTTAAAAAGGCATCCAAAGGCTATATACTTTTAGTTCCTGCAAAAAGGGACATCCAGACCTGGGGTAATCGTTCCTAGCAATCATTGATTTTTTAATCAATTGCATAATTACACTATAATCATCATGTTTTTGATTACCTTGCCCAAAATTTATTATTTACTAATTGTAATTAATTAATTACAGCTTAAATTCAGTCAGAACTTATGATTACAATTTGATTGACATTGATTACTTTTAGATTTAACAGGAAACTTAACTTAACTTTTCATGATACAGTTTAACTTTTATTTTACAGTTATACAGTAAAAGCCCTCAATTAAGACCACCATCAGGGCTGGACCACATAAGACCACCATCAGGGCTGGACCACATAAGACCACCATCAGGGCTGGACCACATAAGACATACAAATGAATAAAATGTATTGTGTAATACAGACCTTGTAACTCAAGTCTGGTAGAAGACTAAGAAGTAAAGTCACAATTTTCTGTGGGAATTCAAACTTGACTGTCCAAAATACCAACTCCTCCAACAAGGTTGTGTGCACCAATTTTTGATTTAGCCCTGGCATGTCTGAAAACACAACAAAACATATAAATAAATGAGCCGCGTCATGACAAAACCAACATAACGGATTTGCGACCAGCATGGATCTAGACCAGTCTGCGCATCCGCGCAGTCTGATCGGGGATCCATGCTGTTCGCTTACAAACCCTATAACAAGTAGAGAAACTGTTAGCGAACAAAACATGGATCCTGATCAGACTGCGCGGGATGTGCAGGCTTGTCTGGATCCATGCTGGTCGCAAACCCACTATGTTGGTTTTGTCATGACACGGCTCAAATATCAATATATTGTTAAATTCATAGTTGAACAAGAATAAAGATTACGCATAAAAAAACATTTGTTAAAGTTCACAATACAATCTTTCAAATTATCATCATAAAGAGGAGCTATGATTTAGCAGTTATAGTTATGTTCCTATATACTCATATTCTCATGTTCCTAAACCATTTCACCAGATGTTATAATTAAAGATTATACATATGCTCATCTTTGGGTAAAATATTTTTATTGCACAAATGTATTGAAATCCATAAAATTCTTACTGAATATGTTTAATTTGAATAAAAGAATGTATAAACTATGTATGGGAAGCTGTATTCCTTATTACTGGTCAAGTAGATTTGGTCTTTTTCTTAAAAAAAAACTGCCAGTTTTTTTTAATGACATTATATATTCATATTTTGTCCACATATAATATTTATGTTAAGTTTAAAACATGGCATATCTACTATAATTAGGTCAAAACATGTTTATTTTATATTTACAAAGAGATTGTGTAGCAATTATCAATATTTTCAAACATCAAATTTCAGCATAGCATATCTTTAAATTATTGAGGACGTAAATATATTATTCCGCTCTTCACTGAATTACACAGAGGTGGATAGAAAATACCCTTGAAGTAATTTTTCTCAGTGTATTGTAAAAATAAACAGACCTTCGTAATCTGCAAAACCGTGCGGATAGATAAGTGACCCCCACAAGCTGTTTTTGTAGTTTTGCTTTACCCCCAACAAGTACCTTTTTTCTCCTGGGGGTTTTAGATAAATAAAAAATTAAAAACAAAATATTAAAAAGGGACATTAAAGCCTCAGAAATGAAAAAATTCTTCCATTTTTTTAAAAAAGGGATACATTAATTCATAACGTTTATTTAAATTGTTTAAAAAGCAAAATTACATGCTAACCTCTTGGGAAAAAAAATTTTGGGGGCCTTTAATTGGGGGAAATTATTTCTAATAAAAATAGCAAAATGTAAAGAAAAATTTGTATTTTTTTACTTCCCCCTACAAAAATTTCAAATGCAATTTTACTTTTTTAAAAAACCCGCCCTAAATTTCCAAACAAAAAGCAAAAGATGGTGTAGCTAATCCTTTTGGAAACTAAAACAGGACACAAAAAAAAAAAAAAAAAAAAAGCATTTCTTGGGTATAATGGTCCTTTAATCAATTTTCTCTTTGAATAACACAGGTGTCTTATTTTTAACTATGTTGCTGGGTTTTCATTACAATTTTAGTTTTTCTGAGTTTTGATTTTGAAACGGTCATTTTTGATTTCATCACATGCAACAAAGAGTGTTTACTAAGTTTAAAGGTGAATATTAAGTTCTCAAAACTAAAGAATTTCTTCTTTCTGTAGAAAATGCAAACATGTTAAATAACAGATTGAGAACATGACGTAAAATGCACATCACCTGACTGATGATAATAGTCCTGAATGTGAAATAATTTGTGATGAAGGTACCGAATATAAAAGTGGTATTTTTACTTTCATTCAGAATACCTAATCACTATAACATAAGAAGCAAAGTCCCTAAAGAAGCAAAGAATGGCTTTACTTTATGGCATATCAGTATTTTTTTTTTTTTTTTTTTTTGAAAACTTTAATGGGACACCTTTAAAAGATAAAACCTTTTTGCATTATTTGTCTAGGCAGTAAGGCTTGATTCCAAAAATCCTTATAACCTCTATATATAAACTTGGTCTTTCTTTAATAAATTCCAGTATTTCAAAAATTATTTTTAAACAGAGAAGGAAACCCTCACCTGCTGTAAGTTGAGCGTACAATTCTGGTTTGGTTAAAGCGTTTGCCATCCACTCTACGCATGGCGGCTCCCATATCACTCCAGGCCGTGTAAAAACGTAAGGAACTGTTCTGCATCCTGCATTGCTACTGAATATGTGTCCACTGACTCTGCAAGTACAATATTGATTTTGTTTATTGTTTTATTATGCCCCTCACTACTTTGTGAGTAAACCCTTGTTCATCCATCCCACTATCCATCTGTATTACTAAACAAAAGCAAAGGAAACAGGGGCATCAGTGGTCATATTTGACACATGAATTTTTGAGAATTTTTTTTTCCTAAAAAGATGCATTTGACAATAATGTTCCTGCTTAATTACACATAATAAAATATTTCAGCTGCTCATATGTACGCAATTTTTTTTTATTTTTAACATAAAAAATAAGGGGGAACACTGACATGCTAACACAAATTAAAAACTTCACTTTATCACAGCAACCCCTATGCCTTCATTGGAATACATGATCAAGAGCGAAAATGAGTACAAAAATCAAAAACTTAAAGCAAGAAATACCAATAAACCAATACTATACACAGCAAGGGTTAAATGAAGCAAGAATTTTTACCAGGTTTAGAATTATCTTTAGAATAGGAATAACAAGAAGTCTAAAGGAAATACCCCCCTTGGCCATCATGTTTCAAAACAAAATGGGTAGTAAAGAAATAAACTGTTTTGTTTTTTTTTTGAGGGTTTGGGGTTTTTTTTCTTTCTGGCCCATGTCCTTTTTGGCAAAAAAACTAAACAAAAAAAAATTTTTTAAAAATCATTTTTTTTTCTTTAAAATTTTTTGGGAAAAGAATTTCGCTAAAAATTTTTAATTTGGGGCTTTAAAAAGGGGTTAAATTTTCAGTTTTTGGGGGAAAAATGTTTTATAAAAAGAATCTCTTAAAGAAAATTAACCCTAAAATTTAAAAAAAAAGGGCCAAACCTTTTTAAAGGCCTCATTTATTAGGTAAAAATACTTGTTTAAATTTTTTTTATTGACCAAAGGGCAAGAACTGTTTGAAGTGTTGCATAACAAATTCTTTTTTTTAAAAATTTTCCCCCCACCCCCTTGCATTTATAACCCTTTACATCTCAAAAAGTCGGCCCGGCCTTTCCAAACCGCCTGATAAGAAAACAAAATTAAAGTTTAGTCCCCCAAAGGTTTCCGGCCTTGGGGGGGAAAAAGTCAGCACATAGTGGGACATGCAAAAAAGGGGAAAAACCACAAAGGGGCGACACTTGATATGCCCACAAAAAAGTTGGCCCGTCCAAAAACCCAGACCACATGGGCCATGCATTTTTCGGGATTTTCTTTACTGAAAAAAAAAAAGTTTGAAAAAATTTTAACTTTAATTTTAAAAAATTTGGGGGAAAAATGTAAACACAAGTTTTCAAAATTTTTGAATCAAGCGGAGGGGAATTCAAATTAAATATAAAAAAGTCCCTTTAAGGGTTTAATTTACCTCATTAAAGTAACCCAACCCTGGGCCCCTGCCAAGGGGTTTAATAAAAAAGCCAGTGCCCAATAAATTGATAAGAAGTGAGAAAGTTTTTGAAAAGGGGAAAAAAATACATAAACCTTAGTTGCTCACTAATTCTTTACAGCAGGAAACCTGCTTATATTGTTGCTGGGCATGCCAGACATGCATTATGACAAGGGCCAACAACTGGCAAGAAAACTGGCAAGGAAACATGGCACCTGTTTTTTGTGAATTCCCTCAAAGGTGCTCCCCCCTGATATCAACCAACGGCACCAATCTAAAGTTTCAAAGTCATCTAAAGGCTTCTCTGGATTCAAGAAGGTGAATCGTAATAAATCTGTTAATTTTGTGGGGTTCATGCTGTTTTGAAACATTCATGTTTTCATAGCACGGCGGACGCTTCTTTTTTGCCTCCTTTTCAGGCAGAGCGACATTTCTGGAGCAGCCATCGCAATGTTTCAACGGAGAACTGTGGGAAATAAGCAAAAAAAAAAATACGAAATAATTTTTAGGACGAATAAAATTTAACCGACCTTACAGGGTTGTACACGCAACTAAAATAAGTTCTTTTTCTCATTTTTCTTTCTTGCATTTTAAGATAAAATACAATGAAAAGTTACACGAAATCTATTGATCAGTTTTGCTAAAAAAATTAAATTAGATAATATCATTACTTTGCCAAAATAACGACTTGTTACTTTATTGACGATATCCCGACGACTCACACATATCAAAATTAAAAACATTTTTTTATATTCAGGTGGTTTGAAAAATACATGTGCTCTAGCCGATATTTTGTCAAACACCGTAACCACTCGGCCATCTGGACGCCCCAACAGTTCATTGTGCCACGACTTTAAATTGTCAATTTATTATAGCGCTAACATGTACTAGAGCTAGGGAATTTTCTAAACCAGAAGGTTTTTTTTTAATAATGTTTTAAGTATAACGCCAAGGATATACAAAGTTAGTATTTAATTGGGCAAAGCCAAAATCTGGCAAACCTCTAATCTAGTTCCCCAGCAAAATAAAAAGAAAAAATATATTTAACATAAACAATTTTAAAAGTAAAAATGATCTGGAACATACTTGGTTTTGACGATTAAACGAAATGAGACAAACATATGATTTTCAAAACATATAACCAAACCTTTAAAGAAATATTAAAATTTCTTTTCTTAATTAAAGCAGCATGCCCCATATTTATGCTAATGGTTCAACGAAAATTTTGAAAATATATTTTAAAGTAAAAACTGTGAAAAGACCAAAGAAAAATAATTCACACATTGCAAAACGGCACTTACAAACCATGTAAATTTACCAAAAAAGAGGTCAAAAAATACATAAATACCTCTTTACTGCCTTAGTAACGCAGTAAATTATAGCGATTGATAATGCAAAATCAGTCATAAATCGCACATCCATTGTGAATAATTAAAATTTAACAAAATTTTAATCGTTTTACTTTTCTAAGATCTCAATACATTTTTATAAAGATTGAATTTTGAATATTTTTGCTCATCTGGAGGGCGTGCAGCTTTAAAAACTATAAAATTTTTTTTTGAAAGACTCTGTTATAAAGGGGTAAATTCATCTGTACTTTTTATTATTCTTATACTAGCATAACTGTTTGTAACGTCGCTTTTTATTCGATAATGTATTAAGAATCTCACTTTTTCCTTAAAAAACAAGTTGCAGTAATTTATAAATTCGTTATAAATTTTTTCTGACAGGGGTTACATGTTATGGCCGAATATAAACGTTTGTTTGCATATAACCCTCGAAACTGGCAGCTTCAGGTTATATTTTCAAAAAAC